GCAACATTGCAATGTTGCTGGACGTTCTTGTGCTGTATGGGAATATAAACTTTTGCAATAAAATTTAATTTATAATGACTTTTAAATAAAATTTTAGATGAGAATTCGAAAGGTTTTATATGGCCTGATGCAGCGGTATTTTTACTTATCGAATTGTACAGAGAAAAAGAACTCGAATTTAATACTGGGATGAAAAGACATAATGCTATTTGGGGGGAGATTGCTACCCAAATGAAAGAAGCTGACAAGAAATATATAGTTACTGGACTTCAGTGTTCTACAAAATTTGCTGGTTTAAAACGAACATATAAAAATATATATGAACAAAATAAAAAGAGTGGCAATTCCCACAGTAGTTGGGCTTTTTATTCAGTAAGTATACGCATAAGTATTTGTAAATATAATACTATGTAGTATACGCACAGATTTACAAATTTATTTGTATGTTTATAGGTAATGGATTCATTAATTGGTGAAAAGGCTTACATTAAACCTCCAGCTGAAGCATCCAGCGAAGGTCCAGCACCACCGAAAGCAGAAGAACCATTTACATCAGGATCTTCATCTCCTCTTTCTTCAGAGAATTTACGAAGTAATAACGTATAAAAAACAAATCACAATTAGAGTAAAAGTCGTTTTCACATATTGGGCATAATTAATATTGTCAATATTTATATTAATATGTATTGTAGGTGCCCCTAAAAAAAGACGAGTTGAAAGTATATTAGAAAATTACATCGACGAAATGAAACATGAAAAGGAAAATTTAAAACACCAGCGAGACGAAGAAAGGAAGACGAGAGAAGAAGAAAGAAAAGTAAAATACGAAGAAAGAAAGAAAGAGCGTGAAAAAATGCACAATGATAACATGGAAATACAAAAATCATTACTTGCCGTCCTGCAGACTATAGCCAATAAGAAATAAAAACGAAACAATTACTTATACCGTTACTGCAATTATACGTACACTGTGATATTTCAGGTTAATGTAATAAATACTGTATGTAATATTTAATATGTATATTTATATATGTATAATTACACTTATATAAATATAATAAATACGTTTAGTACACAAATATTGATTTCAATATGATTTTCTAAAATCATTTATTTTCATGTTTTTATTTTATAAACATTTATATAAGAAAAGGATTTATTATATTTTCATTCGTAGCGTATTCATAATTCTTATTCGCTTTTCTCTTCCTAATTCTGTTACATTATTGTGGTTCACAAAGTTGACTTCTTCGTCACATGTCATCGTCAATTGTACACCCAAAGGCATTTCATCATTTTTGAGTAGGCAGATATTATGTAACACACAGCATGCTAAAATAAATTCTGGAACTTTTTTGGTGTCTGTTAATGGCAAACAATCTAGGAGTATTCTAAAGCGCATTTTCAAGGACCCTATAGCACGTTCAACTGCCATTCTTGTGGATGACAAACAATAATTGAAATTTTTTTGCCGATCTGTTAGATGTCCATTATTACGAAAAGGCACCATTATATGAGGATTAATACCGTATGCAGCATCTCCGATAATATGTGAATCATTTGGAAAATATTCTTCAGGCAATTCAACAAAACGAGCTACTGCAGAGTTCCGAAAGACTCGAGAGTCATGGACCGATCCAACCTGTCCAGCATATACGTGTGTAAAATGACCATAAGAATCACATACTACTTGCACGTTAATAGAATGGAAACCCTTTCGATTTATGTACGAGTCTGCATCTTTAGAGGGAGCTCGGATTTTTATATGTGTCCCGTCTATAGCTCCGATTATATTGGGAAAACCACATGATCTTTCAAATTGTTCCATTGTATTTATGGCAACCTGATCTCTTGGCCATGTAATAAATCGAGGAGCAACGCAATGAAGAGCATATGTAACACGTCGCAATGCTCGAAAAGCAGTTGCTTTACCCACTCCAAACTTCGTAGCTACAGATCTACAACAATAAGAGGACATATGAATTACATAATGCTGTAATTTTTTAAATGAGATTTAATATATATATATGTTGCAATGTTCTTATTATAAAGAGAACAGAACATATATCACATATACCTATAAGAATCAGGTGTAGCCATAAACCAAATGGCAATAAGTAATTGCTTTTCTTCTGATA